AGGGAAAGACCCTACCTTTCCATGTTTCAGATATTCTGTATTACATGTGTACATTATTTAGACTGCAAAAATGAATTTGCTCACATGTGTTGCGGATGCAGCAATGTCAGGTACATGCTCAAACTGGTCATTTTTATTCCTTGCTAATAATTTACTATTTGACCTGCAGATATGTCAAAGCATACCTTCTGCCTGATAAATCCCGCCAAAGTAAACGCAAGACCAAAATTAAAAGTAACAGCACCCATCCAGAATTTAATGAAACGCTGAAGGTGAGAACACTGTCTCTCTCTTAGGCTGCAATGAATGTTTCACTTGTGCTCACATGGGTTTTCTGTATGTGTTCCAGTATGGGGATTAGAATTTGAAAGCAATGTCTTAAAAGGGAAGGTATTTAAGCAGAAACATTTAATAATCCTGAGTTGTAGTTTCTGGCTTTCAGCATTGACTAAGTGTTTTTTGTTTGGTTTTCTCTTTTACAGGTAAAATTTCTATTAGTTTCCATGGATCTCTTTCAAAACTCTCGATGTTCCCATCTAACCTGAGTTCAGAGTTTTTAAAAGCACCTTTAAGGTTTCCTACACCCTAAGTTAGCAATTGATGCTGAAGTAGATCTAGCTTAAAGCTTCCCATCTAAATGATTTTCAAAGAGATTTTGCAGATCTGAATTTCTCTGGAGGCTTTAATTTTATTTTTTTTTTGAAGCAGAACTGACTTTGGTAAGAAAATGCCAACACTACCTACCTTCCTAGAGAGCTCTGGTGAAGTTCATTTTCTATTGCAAAAGACAATGGCAGAATACTTTCCTAAGGACCGGTGGAGAACACGGCCTTGGCTTCTTTGCCTTTTACCTGCATCCACTACAGAGGCTGAACTATTTTGAGCTCCTCACAAGCGGTTTATTCACTTCCTTTGCCCTGTGCTGCAGGTGGGAATGGCAGAGTTTCTGCCCAGTTCACTGCCTGTCTGGCACCTGGACCTCAAGGTTTCTGGTGATTCCCCTTCCTGTCAGCTGGTGAGAGCTATCCCAGCTGGCTGCCATGAGGCCAGAAACTCTTTTTAGTTTCTCCTGAACTTTTTTTTAATTATTATTTTAAATGTCAGTGATTTTTAAATATGTTTCTTATAATAGAGGCTAATATATATTCCCTGGCCAGTAAACTTGGCTTAACCTGGCTACAAAACCATTTTGCAGATGTACGCATGCTTGGTCTGGCCAGACAGCTTGGCAAGGGAGAATCTCTTGTACAGCCTCATTTTGAAATGGTTTATAGTAGAGTTAATACTTTCCTGAACTGGAAAAACAAAACGGTGTTAGACTCTATTTAGCAAGTAATGTAGCACTAAACAGTTTTCAGGTAGGGAACTCAGTGAGGCTTGGATCTAAGCAGCTTGATAAAAATGCAAATTGTAACAAAGAGATTTGAATTGTGGGTAGGTGAGCAAGAGCTACATCTGTTCATCCTAACTGTAACTACTGTTATAAAAGGAAAATAAAAATAACTGAATCCATCTGTAGATTCCCTGTTGGATTTTAATTCCGTTGTTGCTAAGTATGAAAACTCTCAACGTGGAACTGTTGGCATCTACAATTAAGCATGGTAGAAGTAGCTTTACATTAGTAACCTACTTATGTGTCTTGCCAACTGACTTGGCTGTTTCAGCTTTTGGGTTATGTGTGTATGTGTCCAGACATTGTTTCTGATGCAAAAAGGAGGACATATGGGGCTCTTCAGCTAACATCAGGAGGAGAGTGAATTTCAGGGATTTAATTGGCCTTTTCCTAAAAGCAGAGTGTGCAGAGTTAGAATTCCAGATGTTTCTAATTTTATGTGTATTTGCTAGAATCTGGTGTTTCTTCAGAGGAATTTTTAATATCTTTCAAAACCAACAATGGTTACTAAAACTGGTACACTTGGTGCATGCTTTGCAGATGCAATTTTACTTGCTTTCAGAACAATTTTTGTCTAAGTTACAAAGACTCAGTTGAAAAGAAGTCACTATTTCTAGAATAGTAGTGTACACCAGACTCTTTAGGGATGAAAGAACTAGGGGGGGTTTCTTCTTGAGAACTAAACTTTGATGTTGATCTGCTTCTTTCACGTAAACTTGTAAGGAATTAACACGTTCATAGTTTTAAACATCATCATTTACTTTAAAGTAATAAATACCCAGTAAATGATACAGAAAAACCCACAGTTGTGATAGTAGCATTAATTACCATTGGATACATACAGCAAAGAGATTTAACATTAACATTATGAGTTTTTTTGGCTAGATCTGTCTTATTTGCAAAGAAAATAACTCTCTTTCATGCTACATCTGTTAGCTACTGTGAACTTTGTGCAGTTGAGCTAGAGCTATTAAAGGCTCTGTGGAAAGTATTATTTCTGCTCCTTCTGAGAGTTTCTTTTTCTCATTTTTTCTTGGTTGATAGTATGTCATCAGTCACACACAGCTAGAAACCAGGACCCTGCAGCTTTCTGTTTGGCACTATGACAGATTTGGACGCAACAGCTTCCTTGGGGAGGTGGAAATTCCGTTTGATTCCTGGAACTTTGAAAATCAGGGTGATGAGTGGTTTGTGCTCCAGCCCAAGGTAAGGGTTTCCAGGGGCCGGTGAAAGTGCTGCAAAGCAAATTTAGCAAAGCTTAGTTATTTTTCCTTTGGAATATGGTTATAAAATAAGTCTTTATGAGTGTCTAATATGGCAATAAAAATAGTATATTCTTTATTCAATCAAAACATACCGGTTTTTAAAGTTCTCATGAAAACTTTACACATGATTGACTACTTAAAAATAAGCAAAAAAAACCCCTACCTTTTAAATAAACTATAAGTTCATCTTGTAATAAACCACAGTGGAGAAATGACCTAGTAAATAAATTATTTTTTAAAAATAGCACATAAAACGAAGGACTTTTCTACCACTCCCCTCCACACAACCCTTAACATTTTGTTAAAGAAATAGACCCTTTTTTCCTTCAGTTCGAAGTGCTTTACACCTTTCAGCTGTGACAAAATGGCTCTCACTCACCTTAACTAGGAAGGTGTAAGATAAGGTTTCTCAGCAGGCAAATCAATTGGTCTCTGTGACATGACTTGCGTTGTACTTAGCCAAGGATAGGATGTCTACTGTCTGTAGGGCATCCCCTGCTTTTGCCAAAGGTGTTTATTTCTGCAAGAGATTGAACAAGCTACTGTAAACAAGAGGATTGAAGTCTTCTGCCTTGCTTGCTCCTGAAGCAGCCAGAATCCCAAGGAATTCCAGCCTGTTTAGATTGCCATTTCAGAAAGTGTATTCTTCTTTCTTGTGGAAAAAAATCTGAGGTTGTAGTACAAGTGAAGTGGAGATTGACTCAGGTGATTTATTTGCTCTGTGTTAATTATATCTAAGGAAATAGCATTACATCTGGGGTTTCAGGAGGTTGTGTTTTGTTTGTACCTTTTTTCTCAGGTGGGAGATGGATCTGATTGCTGTGTAATTGATTTCTAGTTATAGCCCTTTGTGCAGCTTACATCTAAACTGTCACAAACTGATATTTTATTAAATTGTTTGCCAGAAGATAGATAAGGACATTGGTGTCCTCTTTGAATGCTTACACACCTCAGACTTTATCAGTGGCAAGTAAGATCATTCCCAGTTTCTTAGTTCAACTTTTTTAATAAGGGTGAAGACCAGCTCTTCCTTCATGGTCCAGACCATGTGAGACCAGGAAGAGAAAGTGGCTAATGATGGTAAAGATGTTTCACTCAGCACTGTGGCCAGGCCAGGATTATACTCTTCTCCTTACAAGCATGCTTCATGTAAATTAATTTTGTTGGGTCTGCTCTTGAAATAGAAAAATGTCTACTACAGCTCTGTCACAGCTCTGGCTGGTGTCGGAAATTGCTCTTAAGTACCTTCTAGTCCACAGCAGTAAGATACACATCTGGTATTTGTTTTGCTTGCAGTTTGTATGCAATGTTGGTCTGAAATTGATCATCTTATTGCGCAGTGGTCTCATCTCATTTCAAGCTTTGTTGATTCATGTGTGTATGGGTGGTTTCTTTTAATCCTAACTGGGGCAAAAATACAGTCATGAGGCTTTCCAGCTCACAAAAAAAGTAATGTGGTGTTAAGCATTTCAACCATTCCAGCTGGAAGGTGTCTGATTATTTCCAAACCCATTAGAAGGATTTTTAAATCAGTTCTTTTTGCGAAAGAAAGCAAACACAAAATGGGTCTTGTCTGCCTCCTAAGTTGTTATAAATATGTTTCTAAACTTAGAATGCTGCTAGGATTTATGATCACCCAAGATAATTTTTAAAAAATATTAATTACTGTGTTTTGAATTTAAAAAGAAAGCACAGGTTAATATACATGCAAATTACATGCTGTTCTCCTATGTGTACTGTCTGATAGAGCCAGGAATGGCAGTGAAACATTTCCCAGGTTTTATTATAGTGCTTTATTTGTTCTATCATGATTCATTTAGCTGCTTTAGTGAAAAGTTTGGAGACACTAAGACCTTTTTTTTCTTCTGTGAGCATTTACTCTTCTGTTTTCAAGAGGCTTGTGGTAAAATCAGAAAAAGAAAAGAAAATGGTTTTGTGGTTAAAGAGGGGGCAGAGTCTAGAGCCATGTTATACATGGGTTTTGGGGGTAGGTTGACCAGTTGTGCCTGATCTGGGACCTTATGCCATTACTTATCCACCAGTAAAAATGAAAAAAATAATCCTTGTAGCCTCTATGGGAAACTTGATCCTAAAGTTGCATAATTTAGACAGTAAGTGAGCTGCCTGACTGGCAAGATTTACATATTGTTTAAATTATTCCACAGCCATTTACTACAGGTTTTCTTTTGTCCTCTCTTGTAGCAAATGACATCACTGGTGGAGACAGGACTGTCTGATACCTGAGTTCTTCATAAATTTGATCTCTAATGTGAATGTACAAGACTTCTTTCTTCACTGCACCATCTTTTTCTAGAAATCAGTTTAAAATGGCATAACGTGTTCTCTCTGTGTTGCATCTATGGTTCTTAAAATGTTGTTTCCAACTTCTTACAATGGAAGTGAATGGAAGTTCAGCACATGTTAGTGAAAACCTAACGTCCTTTTAACAAGGATGCTCTGAAGAGCACTAAATGCATTATTGCTGGGCAGGATTCAAATATTTCTAAAGCAAAAAAAGATGCAGAATTAGTAACTGTGTAGAAAAGAAAAAAGAAGCTGGGATTAAGAGCTTTCAAGAAGTTTTTATGTGTTGGAGCTGCACTCTGCTGTCTCCCCTTGCCTTTGTTCCCCGCAGCTCTATTCCAAGAGTGACTCAGCAGTGACTCCTCTAAAATTCATTAAACCAGCTACCATTTAAAATCCTGATTGAAAGAAATAAGGGCTGAATGTCAGCTTAAATTAGCTACAGTTTTTATGTCCAGAAATAAATTTGAGGGTTTTTTTCTGTTTGCTTGCTTCACTAATGCATGATAGATTTCTCTGTCTTCTGAATGTTCACTGAGCAGTGCCTAATGCCACATGGCTTTATTCTTCTGAGAGTTTGCACTCCCTAGCTCACAAAGTTTTCTAAAATGTGATTGCTTTCAATCTGGAATCCAGATAAATCCGAAAGTGGGCTGGTATGTCTTGATATGTTTCAAAAATGTTTCAAACACTATATTGGTACAACAAAATTAAAATCAAAAGGAGAAAATCAGTGATTAAGCATATCTGGACTTCAGGATTTTTTTGTTTGTTTGTTTGTTTTCAGGTGGAGGTTGTGACAGACGTTGGGCTTCAATATAAAGGAGAACTGACAGTTGTTTTACGTTACATTCCCCCAGACAGAAACCTAATGCTTCCTCTAGGGCAGTTCCAAGGTAAAAAAAACAAACATTAATGGCAGTGTATGGTGACATTCCTCTGACTATTAAAAATACTCACCTAGAGTGGAGCAACAGTATTAGTGAAGATTAAAGTTATACTTAAATATGGCACTTGTCTCTATCTGTGAAAATTTTGAACCATGAGTATGTTTCTCCTGCTCGTTCCTCTTCTCTTACATTGAACTTAGGGAGAGAGAAGGGAAGAGGAGTGTGCAGCCAAGTGTTGATGCATGACTAATTAAGAAACAAATTCAGACACAAGGTAATATGATCACGGGCAGCCATGTAAAAATAAATTATTTGCATCATAATTTGTGGGTTCAGCTAGTTATCTACAGTGTATAGCTGATCAAAATTATAGATCTAGTTCTTCATGCTTGATTTTCCTGATGCTTACCTATCTCCTCATTTTCACACTTTTTTCACACTGCTTTAGCTCTGTTCAGTTTTACTGTATTACTGGAATACAGTCCTGGAAAGTGTTCTTTGAATTCTTTAGTGTAAGTCATTATTTTCTTCATCAATGAACAGGGGAAAATATTTACTAACTCTTTGCATGGTAGCAGCATGAAGAACAGCATTCATCTGTGAAAGCAATAATGGGGTAGCACCTGAGCGTACGTGGATGTACCAGACATGGGCAAATCACTATCTTAGTGAAGTATTGCTTTTTAGCATTAGGATTTGATTACTATATTTAATAGACTTCTTTCTTTGGTGCTTTTGGTTTGGTTTGGGGTTTTTTTTCAGATGACATTCCCTCTGCCAGCAGTAATTCCAAGGTTTTCTCTCTTAAAAGATAATTGTTAGTTTCGCTAGCCCTAGAAAATCAGAATGTCCTCACAAGGAATACTTTAATCCCATTGCAGTAAATTATTTTTTAAAAAATCTAGCCAAGACAATTTACATTTCCAAATCAGTTTTGAAGTATACATATATAAATTCTGATGATGATGTTGCAACTCTGTTCTATGTATAGGAAAGAAGAGCTTTAAAAAGGGGAAAAAGGGAAGCTCTCACATGCCATCTGGAGGTATATTAGAAGTCCTCATCAAAGAAGCAAAGAATTTGACAGCAGTGAAATCAGGAGGCACATCTGACACTTTTGTGAAAGGGTCTGTGTTTTTTTTTCTCTCTTTTAATAACTGCACTGAAACGTATTTTGGCTGTATCTGTGTACGTGTGGGTATGGAGTGTCAGTCCTCAAAACCAACTGGCACCTTGGAGGTGCTGAAGAGAAGGATGTTGTGAAATAAGGGCATTTAACTTCCATTAGTTAAATACAATTGTATTTGAATACCACCCAGACAAGAAATAGAATTGTTTGTACATAAACATCCAGTGTGCTAATGTGTATGATGTTATAGAATATAACTTTTGGTAAAAGAAAATGCCTCCACTGAGTCAGCAGAGAGAGGCAGGTGTAATATTCATCGCTCCTGGAGGTAAGAAGTTGTAAATTAGGGCTCTCACACTGGAGATGATACTTGATCTGATGGTGACATTTACATTTTCAGGAAACTAAAATGGTACATACATTTTTTACTAAGAGGCTTAGCCAGATTACATCCTGAATAAGAAACTTGTTTTCAGGAAGATACAAGTCTGTTTGGATTCCTTGTAAAACTGCAAATAGCACCTATAAAAAGCTGACATGCTCCATCAAGATGAGATGGATGTGACCTGAAACATGCAGAAAGAGAAAATTCATTATGGGTGTGAGAAAATTCTGTTTTGATTGAAGTAAATCTGCTAAACAAGAAAAGATTTTTCTCTCTTATACTATAAATATGTTGGATTTTCTTCTAGCACTTAATTGGAAAGCTCTTTGCATGTAGTACAGTGTCAAGGAGCACATTTAAACCCGGAGGGTTTCCAGGAAGTCTGTCACTGACTTCAAATGTAGTGTCTTAACTCAAATTTTGCCTTGTTAACTGTTAATGTTTTTTGGTGGAAGATGCTTAAAAATTCTGCTCTGGTGAATTTCAGGTTTGATTTTAACAATGCATAGTTATGAAAAATTTAAGGTTTGTGTCACTTATGTTCCTGTATGCATATGGGTACATAAAGATATACATAGTATGACATACATGCACCTTTTTATTAGATAAGCAGTACTTTGTGCTGGACAGTTGAAATCCAAACTATGCAGAAAATGCTACATTTAGGATATACTGTGTTTGAATAAAATTAACATAATCCTGCATGCCTTGTTATAATGTATTTCTCATTAATATAAGCCGTGCAATTGAGATTTTTTGTTATAGTTAGGAAAAAATTATCACTTATAACATTTTTCTCTGCCAGTTTTTGCCCTCACTGCTAGCTTTCAGAATTGCTGGTTTTCAGATGTGCTCTAGGACATTTGTAATGGTTTGCGTATTGTTACTAAATGGCAACCATAGAAAACATCCTGGCTTTTATTCCTTGGTGTAGCTGAGAATTTATCTCCATCTTGTTGTGAGCTTCAAGCTATCACTGAGTTCACTCAACGTAGGAAAGAGTTTGGGCTGCTCCTCCTGTGTATTTGTTCTCCCGTGCCATCTCTCTTTTCCTGATACACGTGAAGTCATTTGCTTTTACTGAAAATAGACTGTCTGATCTCACTATGACTTGTTCCCACTTGGAGCTTGCAAGAGACTTCAGGGAGAAAGTGTTGTCAAAACCTATTTACCTTAGCAGTAGCAACGAGTGGCCAACGATTCTCCAGACTATCCTTAGTCAGTGGTGTCTGCTGTTGCTGACACGGATTATTCCATGCAGTGGAACAGTAGTGCATTTTCCTTGGATTATTGGTCTGTCATGTGTCATGGCCAAAAGCATAATCAAGTTGCCATGAAGCAGCTGAGGTTCTGCAGTGGTCTAATCTGCACTGTTAATTTGAGGCTATTTTGCCTAGTTAGCCCACAGTTAGCCCACTGCAGTTAACTAATTCCTGTTTATTCTGACATTGTAACTATGAGAACAAAAGGAGCACAAATGCAAAATACACTCTTCAGAGTGATGTTTAATTTAATAACAGTGGGGAGATGGGATCCTCATCCCAGTCAAGTCTCTACATGGTTTAAGTCTTTGTGAATATTATGTGACGACCTATCTACATATTCAATTTTCCTTTTCTGTATTTCCCAGATACCTGCTCCCAGATGACAGCAAAGCTACAAAACACAAAACGCCCATAATAAAAAAGAGTGTGAACCCCCAGTGGAATCATACCTTTGCTTTCAGTGGCTTGAGTTCAAGGGATATACATAATGTCTGCTTAGAGTTGACTGTGTGGGACAAGGAGTCACTCTCCAGTAATATTTTTTTGGGAGGTGTTCGTCTGAGCACTGGAAATGGTAAGGTTCCATCTGACTCATCATTGCTTTTCTTATTCTGCTCTCCTTCTTCCTTCCCCATGTGATTCATGTATATAAAGGGCAGAAATGTTGCTGAGTGGATGGAAAGCATATGGGAACTTAGGGAAATTTAAAAGGGAAGGCAACGTGCAACCTGTAAATGATGTAGCTCTTTCCTCTGTTGAGTGAGACACAACAATTTGGTGTCAAGTTGTACTTCTGAGCAGTCTAGAAGAACTGGGAATACTTGGAAGCATTTCTTAGCATCCTGGTGAGCAGGAGGGGATTACTTTTGTCCAGCAGTAGCCTTTCTGCTGGCGATGGTGTGATCTGGAAGAGGTGTGAATCCATTCCTCCTCAGTAAGGATAAATGCAGAGTGGGGAGGTTTAGGTACCTCTGTTCATGTGCCACAAAGGAGTATAATGACAAACTTGTGCTCTCCAGGAGCTACCTGTTTTCTGCATGTCTCCTTGTACAGGTGGTAGTGTAAAGTGCTTGTCATCTTTCTTATACACTGTTGGAGGGAACGAGGGAGGATATAATAGGGCAACGGGTACAAGTTGGAACATAGGAAGTTCCTTTTAAATATGAGGGAAAACTTCTTTGCAGTGAGGGTGACAGAGCACTGGAATAGGCTGCCCATGGAGGCTGTGGAGTCTCCATTTCTGGAGATACTCAAAATCTGCCTGGATACAGTCCTGTGTAAAGTGCTCTAGGTTATCCTAGAGCAGTGGGAGAGTTGGACTACATGATCTCTCGAGGTCCCTTCCAACTCCAGCAATTCTGTGATTAAGTAACTGCTTGCTAATATGGCAAAATGTCTCCTGCTATTTTAATTGCCAGGTGTCAGTAATGGCAAGGAGGTTGACTGGATGGACTCTCAAGGGGAAGAACAGCGTCTCTGGCAGAAGATGATTGACAGTCCAGGAGCTCCTGTGGAGGGAATACTAATGCTGAGATCCAGCATGGGAAAACGCAGACTCTGAAAGACTTTTCTGAGGAGTCCCATAGGTACTCCTGACTTCACTGGTGTTTAAGCTCTTGTCACTTTACCCGTATGGGGAAGAGTTGTGCTCTTTGCCTTGGATAGTAAGACTCTGAATGAGGTTTTAAAGCATTCTGCACTTTCACACACACATTTTTAACCCAGGTTTCTTGTATGGGTTATATTTCTCCTGAAGCCACTGAGAATTTGACCTTGTACAGAGATGGGATTGGCTTTCTCTGTCCCTTCTGGTGACTAGTGGACACTAGTGGGGTGCATGTGCAATGGGAGAGCAAATTCTCTAGTGAGTAATTTATTAAGTAATGTCTGGTTTACATATCTCCTTCTGGGTCCAAGATGGCCTAGAAGACAGCAGTGATACAGTACAAGCAGATTCAGAGTGAGTCTGTGTTGTGGTAGTTGAAAGAAAAGAAGCCATAATGTCTGAAGGATAACAATGTTTCTTCTTCGTGTTTGCTTATTGGGCTGTGCAGTGGGCAGGATGGCAGGCTTGGGACCAAGAAGCCCGCCAAACAAAGGCCAATGCCCTGTGTCTCCCACTAGAAACAAGCAGCAGGTGAGCTGGTGTACAGTGCCAGTGTTCTGGCATTCTCTGGGTTATTTTAATGCACTGTATAAATGACGGACTTGGTTGAACATAATCAAAGAGCCTCTAATGAAAATAAATTGCAACCAGTCCCTAGTTTCCAGAACTACGTAGAGTTACTGTGTTCTTCATTCAGCCAACAGCTCTAGCCAGTATCTTCCAGCTGAGCAGAGGGAATGAGTTCACATGCCTGATCTCCTCTGACCAGTCGCTGAGATGAGACACGTGCTGAGTTTGAGCTTCATTAGCTGAGACACAGATCTAATAGTGAAGTGATGTGATTAAAACACATGCTGAAATGATTTGCACAACTGTGGAATTTTCTCTGAATGGGCAGGGATCCCATTCTGATGTGCCCATGCATGTTAATTAGTCACCAGAGTAGGACTTTGTTTTCTCCTAAACATCCCACTCTGAGTTAACAGTGGATTTAATAGTAAGAGTCAGTTTTGGCCAATTCAATCATTAACCTCATTAACCATGACTGTTGTTCAACAGTGATTTTGCTATTTGTTTTCCTAAAGCAATTTTACACCTACTTTGATCGTACATCCTTTGGGGATTTACACAGGTTATATGTGAAGAAGGTGCTGGTTTGAATGGTTGTTGTGGGCTACTCCTACCATAATGAGATAGGATTGTGATTTTTTTTCAAGGACAGTACATGTCTCCTTGCAAGACTGGATAATGATGAAATTGTGTAGCATGTGATCGCTCAGCTTATAAGACTAAGGAAGATCAGTAAACTGAGTCAACAATATTTCTTCTGAATTTTCCAGAATTAGAATAGTTTCCTATTTGAACTGGTAAATTAATCTATAACTATTATTTTTTTATTATTTTATTTTGTACCCCAAATGTTTTATTTTTTGGAAGCTATGTAGTATTAGTACTAAGGAAACAAACTGGAATATATGGAAACAATTCTTACGTAAATTACTAGAAAAAAGACTACTGGGAAAAAACCCAAACTTTCAAAGACTGTATCATCAAAACACCAGTATTCAAAGATTTCTGCGAAGAATAAAGACCACAAAATCTAACTACTTGGACAGATACAGATGTTGTTCTTCACAATTCAGAAACTGCAAGAAATCTAGATTGAACAACAGAATACAAACTGATAACTAAGTAGCTACAGCTGGAAATTTTGACATCTGTAGCTGTCCTAGTGTACAATTATGTACATGTATTTGGAGTTGAATCCAAAACCTTAAAATTTAATGCCCATTCCTTTTTTCATTCTTTCCTCCCTCCCTGCTTCCCCCAAGATTTTTTTATACTGGTTGTGGTTTGAGTGGCTTGAAACTGTGGGGAAGTTTACAAGCAGGCTTTTAAAATCCTAATATTATTGGATTAAAAAAAGTTTTATTTAAAAATGGTATCTTAGTTTTAATAAAACAATTTGTTTCATTATGAATATTATTAATATTTTCTTTTTAAATTCTGGTATTACTGTAAAAAGTCACTGGAGGCAGTGCTTGCCCAGTTTTTGAGAACCACAAGTTTCAGAAATTACAAATTCATCTTTGAAAATAAACTTCCCTTAGAGAATCTCAGTTTAGAAACCAAAAGCCAGTAGTTGCTCAAGAAAACTTAATTTTCTTTCTGTATCTCTTTTTCATTTTCTTCTTCAGTTGTGTTCGAATTAGGCAGTGAAGCAAGTCTAGTCTAGTTTATGCTGGCTTTTCCTCTTATGCCACAGATGCTGTGAGCTAATACATTAGAGCACAACTATCAAGCACATATATTTTATAACCTTTTTCTTGTTGTAGTAAGAAAATATTACACTTTAAGATAATACTTTAAGTATTAGATTTATTTTTTTGTATCAGCATCCCCCAAACTGAAACTATCCTAAATTTTGCCACCTAAACTATCTCTCTGTTCAACAGAATTGGTCTGTCTTAGCTGTTTGTACTGCAAACCTGCATACATTTGGGAATAATAATATTATATTGTCATGGAGGCAGAAGCTTGATATTTTTCATTTTCTAGAACTTGATTCAAAGGGATAAAGCTTATATCTGAAGAAAACAGTTCTTCAGGGTAAAATTCCAGCTAGAGTTGTAAAGGAACACTGGGCAGTCGGATGTTTTGATTTTGTTTCCTATTGATGGTAAGACTGGGAAAAGAAAGCAAAAATACCTCCAGGTTGGACCTCAAAATGGAAACCCTTTTTTCTTGCCAGAGTGAAAAGCTTAAAATGTTTTAGAATTGAACTAAACCTTTTTTTACTTTCATATGGAGTGAAGGAGGTTTTTGCAATTTTTGAACAGTGTTTTCTCTCCTTCTAAACATTTCCCTTTTTGCTGAATCAAGTCTTGTTTTGAAAGGAAAAAGTCCATGCTTTACCACTTCAGCTTCTGTCCATTTTGTCCTGTGGTAGAATTTGTGATGAATGGACTCATCTGGAAATGTCACCCAGCTCATACACAGGCTTTAAGTTCTGCTTTTTCCTTCCAAAGTGCCAAAGCTCCAGTCTGTGCCTGTACATGAAATTATAGACCAGGCAATGAATAGACTGTAGGTTTCAACTGCAGTTCAACATATGAAAGGAACAATTTCACCTGGGAAGTAATTTTGACCAAGGTGGTGCTGTTTGCCATTGATCGGATTTGGATTAATACAGTCAAATTACCTCCTAGGTTAGCAGTGACAATTCTGCACTGGGGTAGCATGTAATAGGTATCACACTCTGCCTCAAATGAGCTTCTGAGAGATGATGAGCATCATATAAACACTAGAGCAATTTGGAACGCTTTGCTGTTCTATGATGTTGTTGACGTATTAGTAGGAAGTATTTGATTTGTGGAAAATGTCACATTTAATGATATCTCTCATATCTTTGTGCTCTTGCTTTACAAAATTATTTCTGGTTTGGAAAAAGCACAAGATGATTAACTGCAGATGTGATTTCTTGTTTCCCGGATATTTGAATTAATTTCCTATAATTGTGCATCGTCACATACTGTGTGATACCAGGCTGAACAAAAAGCCAGAAATCCAGGAATTAGGCAAAAGCTTTCCTTTTGCATGTATCTTTATAGTACTGAAGGTGCATTAATGGTTTACTCAAGGCTAATTTTTAGTAGAAAATACCCACATTTTTAACATTGATTCATAAACTCCTGCCCTGAGTAATTAGACACAGCAGAGCTGATGTTTTTGAAGCATTCATCCCCACAGATCTGAATAACTGAAGATGCCTCAGGGGAGAAGAAATCTTCCCTACAGTGTTTTTTTGAAAATGTGTTACACAATGCATTTAAATCTGAAATGTATTTTTCTAGCAAGATAACTACAGGGCTTTCATCACTATCTCTTTCTCCCTTGTGATTAGATTTCAAAGGTTTAGACCTATTGAAGAAGAATAGAAGTGCAACTTTCACTGTAAAATGTCAAATGGCAACAGTAAACACAACTTTAGACAGTATGGTTATTGCTAGTATCCATACCAAGATCTGATTCTGCCCTGCCATCAGACTTTGGCATCTTGACCAGTTATCTGGAAGTATCTCTGCCCAGTCTACCAGCTATTTGGGAACTTCAGTCTTCTACATGTTGATATTTTTCCTTGCATGTTTAGATGCCAAAAGCTGTCTAAACGAGGTTTGAAATGGCCTCCTCATCTTCACTGCCATTATGCTACATTTGAGCAAGGGTGGAAGGAAAGCTGCAAAGACTCAAAGGGGCACTACTGCAATGTTCCTGTGCTATCCCAGTGCCATTGCCCTCCTGGATTGCCTTTTAGGTGCCACAATTTGATCTTTCTTTCCCAGCTGGATGCTTTAGCAGATGGTTTAAAAGACAAGGCTTAAAGAGGTTTAAAGACAAGGCTTTAAAAGACAAGACTGGGATGCTATGTTTTGGTCATGGTGCATCAGACTGGAAGTTTATTCTTCCTTTGCCTCTTCCAATGCAGATTATGCTAACATAGCACAAAATAAGCATTTTTATGCATTATTTAAAAATTTTCTTGCCCTTTCTGGCTAGGCTCTGCAATTATTTTAGGTTGTATTCTGCAAAGCACCAACTGAAGTCTAACAGCAGAGCATCTATCGAACATCTGCTGTTGCTAATTGGTAAGGAGAGGGAACAGGAGGGTTGCATTTAGACTGGCATCATTTTAGGCTTCTCGAGGGCTCTGCATATTGTGAGGCTCCAAGCACGTAAAGTTTGCAGTTTGCCCTATAGAGTCAGGGAAGAAAAGGGCTGCTTGGTTCTCCTACACCTTTGAAAAAGAGCTGAGAGTCCTACAACTGTCTAGTGTGTGGATTTACACAAGATAGGAAGGGTCGTATCTAAATGGTTGCAAGGATCTTTCTTCCCTTCAGTTCCGCAACCCCCACCAGAGCAGTTCACCTGAACATTAAATTAACCTCCAGCCTCTG